GGCTGCCCATGGACGCCTCCATGGTGAATTCGTAGATCGCGATTCCCACCCCCCAAACGCTTCTCTTCCCACCCGCCCCGATCCTCACTTCGGGCACGTGCATGCAAACCCCCCCTCATCTATACCCTGTCTCCACGCACGTGCATACCAGGACGTGGGCAGGAGCGGCACATCTGTTGGAAGATAATGCAGGTGTCGTACGATGAGCTCAACGAGAACAAAAATCTCGTTTGGAGCAAGAGGGCAAAACCTCATTTGATTTTGATTTCCAGTACGAATACAATCTATGAGAGCGGACAGTGGAGCCACAGAGAGGTGAAGCCCTGAGTAGGGGAGGGGTGACCCCTGCCGCTAGCGGTCTGGTAGCGCCGGTCTGGGCCGATACTCTCGGGTGGGTTGCGAGGATCGTGTGTTCCTTCCTTGAGTGATCACTGGGTAGTGGGTGGGCCCACTGCACTGCCAATGGGGCTGACCCCGGCGCGGGAAGCCCTTTGTCGGACATCCTCCCTGGGTCGTAACCCCCGACACATCCACAACCCTTAAAAAAAAAAATAAAAAAAAAAAAATCTATGAGAGCGTGAGTGGCGGATGGCCCAGTGGTTAGGGCACCGGTTGGAAATGCACATTGTGGCTTGAGGTTGCGGGTTCAAATCCGCAACCTCGTGCATATGTCGCCAACATGGCGTTAGGATGATGCACTACCACTCACACACTGAGTGCGCACGCTTACAGGGGTACGGCTGTACACAAGGCTTTGCAGGTCTGAACTGGGGATCCACCCGCCAAGGTGCCCATTGGATGCTGAATTCCCAACCGTACATCCTGGGTCCCCGTAACGGTCGAGCGTGTGCCTCCCCTTAGGGTTGTCGAGGCCATGGGGGGGGGACGGTTTTGGGAAGGGCAGGCTCAGTGGGGCTGTGTGCGGGAGGAGCGAGGGGGTCACCCCTCTCCTAGCAGAAGCCGACGCGTCCTTGTAGCACCACGGTGACTTTGATGCGAAAAAGCCTCAGCTCCCGACCGAGGAGCCGCATGGAGGTGAAACCCTGAGTTCGAGAAGGGTGACCCCTGGCGTAGCGGCCTGGTAGCGCCGGTCTGGGCTGATACTCCCAGGTGGGTAGCGAGAACTATGAGTTCTTTCCTTGAGAGATCACTGGGTAGTGGGTGGGCCCGCTGCATCACCAGTAGGGGTGACCCCGGCGCGGGAAGCCCTATGGCGGACATCCTCCCTGGGTCATAACCCCCGTCACCTCCACAACCCTTTTTATAAAACAATCTATGAGAGCATGGTCTATCGATCTTTTACCGTTTCAGGATTTCAAGCAAGAGGTGTTAGAAACGTTACCATAAGGACCACTGGTTCGTGATCATCATCATCATCATTGCCATGGCTTGACATCGTTCTAATGTGCGAACTCTCCGGCGACCTCGTCGTTGCACCAGAGAAATGATTGAGAAAACCCTTTAGGGGTATAGTCAAGACCTTCCTCGACTAGGAGGAAGGACATCTATTGCTTCCGGTTGACTGAGTGTGCGGTATTGTCAATTTCTCTCCGTCTTATTAATTCTCTTCCTTCCTCTCGCTGATCTCTCTTAAAGATCTCATCTTTTTCCTCTTCTTTTACCTCTTCTCCATCCCGTCTTCTCTCCTCTACTCTCCCACCTAATTGGTCACATCATCTAAAATTTTTACTACGTGTGACGCATATTATCTTTCTTTGTGCTTGTCTGACAATGTCATTCCTTCTGCTGTTTGGAATCTCGACCTAACTCGATAGGATTAATCTTCATTTTTTTTTTCTCCCAACGTCGTGACCGGAATGAATTCCAACGGTTTTGTTTAAGAGGTACATGAAATTGTTTATTATATCAATTTTTTTTCGTAATTTACTTTAAACTTTGATTTATTTCATAAATTCGTAAAATAAAATTCAGAATTTACTAAATTCAATTACCCTGACATCGACTCTACTTCTGTATTCTATCCCCCGTAAAATTCTAAAATTTTGTAATTCTTTTTATTTATTTTTTAAAATATTTTAAAATTTATGTAAAACTCTGCAACGTGCTGCTAAATTTCCTCAGATTAATCTAAATAATTTTAAAATTTTAAATTTATCTTAATTTATTTTTTGGTTGTCATTAATTCCTTATGTCATTTGTAGGTGATTCATTTAATTGGTTTATTCCATTGATTTCGTTGGTTTGTTCATTTATTGGGTCGAACTGAACCTTAGCTCAACTGCTGCTTTTCATGTGTGTCCATCTTCTCTCTCTCTTTCTCTCTCTCTCTCTCTCTCACCATATCCACACGTGCCCTCCGCACATGTGTCACAACTACCTTCCGCTCGCCGGGGACGTTCGTGCTCGTGTCCACGTCTTTTTCGGCCCCGCCTGCCGCTGTGTTTCTGTACATTGTGATGACGACACTATGTGATAGGCCCGTTCTCTTAATTGATTTCTATATTGCCTCGGAAGGAGAGTTGAAAAGTTATTTGTATTATGCCTTTGTAAGCAACAAGCGTTTTAACAGAATACCTAATGGTTGTAATTTTTAACGCTGGCATTATGTTTTATTTGTCGAGCTTCATCATGCATATCGCGTCGTTCTTGGATGAAGAACTTTACTTATCTGTGGCAGCAAAGAGAATAAGAATAGTTCACCGTTTTGGGAAGACCGTTATCCATTCCAATTCCATAGTTCAAGCAATTTGCACCGAAGTTTAAGAGATTTTCTTTGGTACGCTTTTCTGAATATCGAAGCAAATATTCAGGCCCGAAGTCGAGAACCAAGTCCTTTTAGACAAGCGCAACATCAACGAGTGCAAAGGCAACGAGCGCAAGAGGCTATTCACAGACTAAATAATCTGCTATCTTGGTTGTTTCCACCAACCCTCTAATCATGCGGTACGTAATATGAAGAGAGTCATCCTCCTCCTCAGGCATGAGTACAAACTTTTGTCAGCTTCGATATAACTCTAGGGATTTTCGGATTTCGTGTGCGAATAGACTCGCATTTTTTACCTCTCGCCTATGGCAATGGGTCTGTCCGTATCACGTTGTGAAACAAATTGTACCTGGTTTGGGAACATTCCTTTTCTTTCCGATCGCTACCTGACCTCGTGGACATCGCGTCGAGATTGGATAGGCTTTTGTGTGGGACTTCTGTATGCAGGTGAACACAACGTCGGGCTTGGATGGGCTTTTGTGTACAAGTTGTGCATGACTTCTGTAGGATCTTGAACATCGCATACGGCTTGGATGAGCTTTTGTGTAGGACTTTTGTTGAGCTTGTGTATGATATGTTCGACTTTGTTATAGGAATCGTGTTTTCTAGCGCTTACGATGAGGGGGTGTCATGTAGACTATACGACGTTGGTGTACGAGTTGGTTTTCCTTGCTCTATCGACGGGAGTGTATTGTGTAGAGGACGGTGTACGTATTATGCCATTTCCTTTCGGCTCCATATACGTAACAACATGAGCTTGAATGATTTTTGGAAAGGCTCCATGTTTATTGAAAAGGCTCCGTGTACTTTGCAACGTGGGCTTGTAAATCGGCCTACGCCTCCAACCTCCCTGATCGACGCTGCTCTTGCGAGCGACCAAGAAGTGGTGGCTTGACTCGTATTGTCCACCCCTCAAACGTTCATCCAAAGGAGAGTGGATGCCACAACGTAGTTACTTGTGGAGCCCGTGCAGAATACGATGATATCCTTCACATGGAAGGACGGGGTAATGGCGTTGCACTTGCGAAGAACAATGTGCCCCGTCTAAGGAACTGAGCCGTCCCGACAAACAATGCCATACAAGAGCGTGTCAATGTCGACCGCAGCGAGGGAGTTCACGATCGACCATGCATCTCACGACTTCCTACCATCTGACAAGATGGAGGCGCCACTGTGACTGAATGTCTTTTGAACCTCCCGTAGCATGGACGCCACCTTCTCCCGCTCGAAGGGACGCCACCCCCCCCGATTCCTCGAAGGAGGGAAATCACAGGCGCACTCCTTGAGGCAAGTCTGATGCCTTTGCCTTCCTCACCCTCCTCGAGGACCGTCTCTTGAACGCATGGAACGAAATGGCAACGCCGTCCACGCACTGCAAGAACGTATCGCTAAACACAACTTGCTTGTCCGCATCGTAGATCTCGTTAATCATGGTCTGGCGGACCCTCTTCACGGGTTGTGTTGGCATGACGTCCTCCTTCCTCACCCTCCGCTTCCCCCTATTTCTCCCAGCGTCCCCCTGAATAGGTGTATTGCCACCCCTCACCCGACGCGACGTCATGACCACATCCTCCCCTGCGATGTCCACACCGCCACCCATATCACCAACATCGCAACCTTGAACTCCTATATCGCTCCCCTCCATCTCGTCCAACACATCATGCACCTCATCCCTGGGTGCAGGGGAACATGGCGCTCGCATCGGTGTACCTCCTCCATTCACTTGCGAGTCTCTGACGCCATACTCCTCCATATATGGATGCCCCTCATGTGACTATTGTCGAATTTGTAGCCCGTCCCGTTCCAAATGTCGATGACCACGTGCATCTAGGCAATCAGGCACTTCTTGAGTTGAACGGAGAGTCACGCCGCCTTGGACTGGTTAGCCTGCCAAATGTTCTTGCATAAGTTGCATTGCAACTTACGATCCTCGTGCAATCCCACCTTTTGGCCCTGCGTCACACACTTCCAAACACGATACACCCTCCTTAACTGGCCATCTCGGCATCTGACAGAAGGACAAACTCATTCCCCCCCGACCTGCTCGCCCCTCCAGTCATCATGGAAACCCCCCCTTCTAACAAACACCCCCCCTTCCACCCCCTGTCACTTCTCGATATCGTCACAGTCCTCGTCGGTCATGCTTCCTCCCTTATTCCTGCCACGTTCGGTGAAGCTCTACGCACAACCGCTTGCATGCTAGGACTGTTTTTTAGGCATTTCATTACTCTTTCCAGCCCGTCTGGTCCCATTTGGACCAAAATTGGTGATATCATGTCGGGTTGTTAGTTGGTGATGAGAAATAATGGCTTCTCTGGGTCCAACTTGATTAGAATAACGATCGAAATCAAGACAACCTTCGGTTCTAGAAACACCTGATTGCATTGTGGTGTCCAGATCAACGGTTGAACCTTTTGCAAAGCTTCCTTAGTGGTACCTCAATAGCGACAAACCCCTTGATAAACGAGTGGTAGTATGAAGCCAATCCGAGAAACACACGAACTTGTGTGAGCGACGTGGGTACCGACGCATCCCAAACTGCCATGATTTTTCCCGGGTGTGGCATCAATCCCTTATCAGTGACTATGTGTCATAGAAACGAAATCTTTGTAAAATAAAATGAGACTTGTTGAGAGCAACCTTGAATCCAACATCCTTTAACGCATGCAATATCCACTCAATGTGTTGCACACGTCCTTCATATGAGCTTACGTACACCAGAATATCATCCATATAGATAATGCCACAGTACTTATCGAGCATCGAATCTATTGCAAAGTCCCCTTAAATAATAAACACATTCTTGAAACGGTCTTCTTTACAAACGAGACGATTATGGAAGTCATGACGGATATAAAACTTATTGAAAAATCGAGCACATCCCATGACATCCAACTACTCTTCAATCCGAGGAATGAGATACACATCTTTCACAGTGATATCGTTTCACTTGTGATGGTCAATGCAAATCCAAATCCCTCTAGTATTTTTAAGTCCAATAACAACAAGTAAAGACCAAGGACCGATTGAAGGTTCGATCCACCTATTAGCTTTGAACTTCTCGAGTTCTCAAAAGGCGGCAATCCGTTGGGCAAGAGTACCAAATTGAATAACAAATATAGTTAATATATGGATGGTTAGCTGTAAGAACCTCATGCTCAAACACATTCACCAATCCAATGTCATGATCGTGCATACCCAAGACAATCGCATATTCATGCAAAACATCACGTCATAGTTTCTGTATTTCTTTAGGGAGATGCGAGAGAATCAATATAGATCAGAAGGTGCAAAAAATCGTGAGATGGATCTCCATCCATCGATGTATGCAAGTGTGAGTTTCACGCTGAAAAACATCAAGCTACTGATACGAACAGAGAAAACAATAGCAAGCATCTGCAATTCCATATGACATATCATTTTAGTCTTTTTATTTTCAGCGTTGACCTCAGTATCCGAGGTGCTTAGTGTTATCTTAATGTCAGTTAGTTTCGACAGTTCGACTATCAAATTGGTCACCTCTGTGATTGGGGCTTCTGTTTCTTCCTTGATTAGTTCTACCATCACCACATGAGTGAGCAAGGGTGACGGGTCGAGGTACGGGGCGGAAAAATCAATATACTGTGACAATATATCTTTCTCATAGACAAAGCATTGCCTTGTAAAAAGTAGAAGGGGATTCCAAAAGATCAGTCATATCCGAAATTGGTAGAATAGGCTCTACCCAAATACGAGGCAAGTGAAACATGAGTCTCTGTTAGAGTCGGAAAAGAGGGCGGGCGAGCAACAGAAAAATTTCCTAAAATCAAATAAACATTCTATATAAAATTACATTTTAAATTTTAAATTTTCATTCCATCTTAAAAAATGTCATTCCACTTTTAAAATTTTTCGTCTACTTGAAAGATTTCCTTCCAAGAATGGGGTATCCCTTGTTATTTGAACTGCATGCTAGAGATGAAACGAAAGTCTGAATGAATTCATGAAATATTTTAATTATACTGCCATTCTAGATATGAATTTTCAGTCATAAATAGGTTAATCCAATCTAAGTTAGAAGATATTTCTTGTAGTAGAATGAAAGTTTAACTAAGACATTCCAGCTTCAACAAATAGATGTAGTTGGAAGGGAAAACTCATTTTTAAAAAGAAACTTTTCAAATCGAAAATTTTAGAATTTAACAAACATTCGAATAATAATTTTTAAATATGAAGGATTTTTTTTTAAATAATATTTTTTCATGTGTCATTTCTTTTGGGAATGTTTTTGTTGATGTGAGTCTGAATTTGATTTCAAGGTCTCGATTTCCTATCAAAAGGAGTGAGCAATACGAGGAAGCATCTTATATTCCTCCTTTGCCTCATGGGTAAACAATTTGATGATATCATTTTATTCTTCCTTAGTCAACATGTCATTTGGGAGTTCAACATAATCAGCTTCGTCGTACTTTACCTCAGAGGTAAGGTTGTCTCTATCACTGCCTTCACGATAAAGATCATCGAGTTCGTTTACGTGTTCTTCTCTTTCACTTTCAACAATATTTTTGTCTTCTAACAATTCGATAATCTTAATCTGTAAAGCTTTCTCTATCTCTTCTCTCTTGGCGGATGGACACATGGATATACGAAGTGGGACGACTAAAGGCTTACCTCCGGTGTTGTGAGTATCAATTGTCGATAATCGAAATGCAGATGTGTTCCTTCCGATATTTCTCAAGGCAAGCATAGTGGGACATTGTGTGAACGCATATCTATCACTAACACGTTAACCACATTAGCCACATTTTTCACCATTCTGACTATATTAATTATTTCCTCATCCACATAAACATACTTATCTTTAGTGAAGGGGGGAATGATTGAATTCAATTCACCCATCTTTCTAACTACATCGAGCGAGAGAGCCACAACGGATGATCTCGTATCAATCAGAGTACTAAACGATTTACCCAAAACTTCGCAATCACATTCAACACTTTTCCACAAGACCGGTTTTGCTCAAGTGAAATAATATCTTTCTGCGAAGGAGATCGTTTTTACGCCTGCCATATATGGAACGATTGCCTTAGCGGATTGATCAGCAAGCAAGTCTGAAGGAGAAGGATCAGGAGGCGCCGATGACCTGGTAGTGGACTCCTTTGATTCTTCCTTCAGCTTCAACATTCGTTAGATCTGTGAAATTCAGCGTGAATATGTGAATCGATTTTGGTTCTTTTGGCAGTGCAGCAATAACTAATCATTTTCGACTTCGGATATCGTGACAAGGTGACCCATATGGACATGAACGTGGATGTCTAACTTCTTCAACACTTGTAGGACATCGATCTCTCTTGTGCTAAATTGTGACCCTGGTTCTAAATCTCACACTACCAAGTCTCCATCATCATCTATCTCTGCGGAACTGATAACACCTATCAATCCAACTGAATATAGATATTCAGCGAGATCAACAACACTTGTGGTTTCATAAAAGATACATGAAGTGGATGCGATCTGATCGACATGTGGGGCTGGAAGAGTGAGAAGTCCCGATACCTCGTCTCAGCCAAGAAAAGCGGGTAGTAGTCGGACTTCATTGGTCGCAACGAGAGCAACAACTGGCGGCATCTGCGGCTGTTTTGAAAATGGACACTCTGGAGCAAAGTGACCAGGTTATCTGCAATTATAGCACGGCCTTGAGGTGACAACACCTACAGTTATGAAGGCAGGAGCCATGACACAAGAAGCAATAGCAAGCATAGCGGTAGTGGGCGCAGGTGGAGCTGGAGGGGCGGAAGGCTTCAGATACTGAGGAGCGGTAGCGACCCGAGGAGCACGTGCTGCATTCTGAGCGATATTTTGTGTCAGAAATTTGCGGAAAACGTGCTCTAATTATCCCAAATGTGTGCTCTAACTCTCCATTAATGTGTTCAACCATTGTGATTGATGTTGGATCGCCCTATAGATCATATGCGCCAGATGCGAGACAGAGACATTAAGTGGTGTTTGTGAGTCTGGCGTTGGTTGCTGTGTAAAGAAAGCAATGGGTGAGGGTGGAGATCCGACAAGAGGAGGGAGAGAAGGCCAAGGGTTAGAGTGGCTTGCAATCTGGGAGATGATACTAGGATGGGCATAACATCCATTCGACAACCCCGGAATGTGTCACGCTCCAAGTTGATACAAGTAACCAAGATCGTCGTTTCTCGGTTACATCCTCAATTGTATCAACGATGTTTTCATCCCCTCCGTCTATGTAACTCTTCATATCCTTTGCATCGAGCTCGAGTGCCTTAGCTATTATTTCACTTACTGCGGTCGTCTTAGGGAGACACTTCTTCGTAAGTTTGCCTTAAGATAAGGGTTTCTTAAATGCTCGGTGAACATATCTCGCACGACCGTTTCCCCTCTTTCCAATCTATCGAATGCAGATTGAACCTACCTATAAAGTCTTGCAACAAATCGCCTGATTCCTGAGGTCGGTGTGGCAATGCATACCAAGCAGCGCCCTCACTAACTTCATCGAATCGCTTCAAAAACATTTCTTTTAAGTCAGCCTAATCCACCCACGCATGGGTTTAAACCAGTCATGTGGAATGTTGCGCAATAATACTTTAACAATACCAGGTAAGTCTCAGGGGCATAGCCCTGGGCTTCGACAACTTCAAGCCATGATTCGGGATTGGTGTAATTGGGATAGAAAGGATAGGTCGTGGGGGTTAGCAAAACCGCTCGTGGAGTAGAAGGTGGAACCTACTGTACCAATGGTTGATTCTCATTGGCGTTGGGGACGTTTACGGTCGCCTCCAC